TCTTAAACGAAGTAGAATAATCAGATATAATTGTATAAAATATGGAATTGTTTTTATTTAAGTTGAACATTTTTGCCTGTATTTACCTGTTATCATCCTCTGCAGGAACGGTTTTCCTCTGCTGTCGTGGCCCAGTATATCTTCTTAAATATTGGGTACGTTCTTGCATATGGTTTTAGAACTTACCCAACATATACACTGAAACTGTACTGTAAAAGTTTCCATGCTATTACTATATTCTTACTAAATTCATTGTTATAGAATATTCCATTGTCTATGCAATTAAATAAATTTGTACCATTCATGTTCCATGACATTACTAAGTAAAACATGACAAATTACCCAGTTAGTAAGATGAAAATTCACTGTAAAAGGAAGCCTTGCTTGTTTCCATTCTATTAACAGGCTCTTGCTATACAATTTGTAATACATTACTCCCTTTTCCATGCAATCAACACAAACTTGAACCACATATGTTCCTGGACATTATCAAGTAAAACATGTGAAATTATCCAGTAAGTAAGATGTACCTGTACTGTAAAAGGAAGCCTTGCTTGTTTCCATCCTATTAACAGGCTCTTGCCATATAATTTGTAATAGATTATGCCCTTTTCCATGCAATCAACACAAACTTGAACCTTAAAAGTTCCACAACATTACTAAGTAAAACATGTCAAATTACCCAGTGAGTAAGATGCAACTGTACCACAAAAAAGGAATGTTTAATACCAAGATATAACAAAGGCACAGTGGAAAGTAACAAGATGTGCTAAAGTTTACATGGTTGCAACCATGAACAATTAATAACAATTAAGAAATTAATATTTTGTTAAAAGTTGTACCTTGTGTAATTTATGAGATCATGCTTTTTTCAGTTTTTGAAACAAGAGAAAGGGTTGGAAGGTTCTTACACTTTGTAACATGCTCTTATGTCTTTAAATAAGCGTCCAAGAATGTATTTCCTATGCTCCTTTCCAAGCCAGTGGTTCCATTCTATGAACCGTAAGTTCATTTTTAAGGCCCTCTCTGTCAGGTTTCCCCTGTATCTGTAGATGGCTTCTTTGAAACGTCGCCATGCCCATTCAATGTGCTGTGTGTGAGCACCACTTCCAGGGTGTACAAAATGTCTCCGGTGATTGATAGTGAATGTATCCTTCACGTGACAATCTGTTGTAGGCATGCCAGGAATCACTAATCACCTCACTTCCAGGTCTGATATATTTTCGGATTATTGTGAGTAATTGCGTCCTGGATTGATTTTCCACCAGCTTTAAGACAGGACCTCTACGGGACCTCTTCACTTCCAGCATCCCAAAGACACACGAGCGTCTTCGCCAGGTGGGTCCACGTCGTCCACGTCCATGCTGAAAATAAGCAAAATGTCATGCTTTTATGAAATTCATCTGAAATTATAGTGTTAGACTCACTTCAGGGCTGTCTGATTCACCCCCATTGTCATGGTAGTGCTACCTGGCATATGACATTTCATAGGGCTAGCGTCCAAATCAAAATTTTTAGGTGTCGTATTTTTCTAAGCAGACTTAATTATATGTATTTGTATGCTATGAAATAGACATATCTAATGCAGTATTACCAGTAGCATTGAGGCTGATCAACAGGACCTGATTCTAATCTTAGATTAATATAGATAAATACTCTATGGAAACCTGTTTCCAATGTATTTATAGTACTGTAGTAATTAAGATGTGCTGTACTTTCACAACAGAAATGACGGACATAAACAGACCTTACCTTCTGTTTGTGTCTGAATTTACTCTCATCTATTGCTACAAAAGCTCCCTCCAATTTTCATTTTCCCTCTTCTTTCCAGTCGCCTAACTGCTTCACCACAGATTGCATCAGTGTAGTTACTCTGGTCAGTGATTTGCTGCTTCCACATACTCCATCCTCTATCATGTCTACTTGTCTCTCCCTCAAGCCCTGTGACAAACTGAGACAAAAATGACTAAATATGACAACTATCAACATATCATCAATTGCGTTTTTCCTGAAACACTTAAACACAACAGTGTAAGACAGACACACACAGAGAGAGAGAGAGAGAGAGAGGGCCTAACCTGTGCATAACTTTCATTCTGTTGTTGCACAAAGGGCATCGTTTCTTCCTTGCCAACAACCTCTCCGTCTGCATCCATCTTATTAACTTTTTACCCCCCATACTCATTGCGCGGCTCGCGAGCCACATGCGGCTCGCAAGCTTTTAATTGTGTGCTCGCGTGGTACTTATAACAATATGGTAAACACGCAAATACATTTTTCAAATTGCCTTACATAAAGATACAGTTGAACACTCCACAAAAACGCAAAATTTCTGCATTATAACTCTCCTTTCATCTTAATTAATGGGTTTCCGGGCACGTCAACCTGGCACGCAACCCGCTTATGGCATTGTTTACACTTGCTGGCGTGCACGCTTTGCAGCCAGGTTACGTTCTGACTGGCTCCGCTAGCTCCAGCGTGAAGATGCAGGCACAAAATGGATCGATTTCTAATAAAAAAAGGGCAAAAACCAGCACAAAAACCAGACGGACAGACACACAGCGTTGTAACGAATAGTGAGGAAAAAGAGTCTGATTCTCTCCATGACTCTTAGCTCCTGTTAGTAAGTACAGTCCAAGTGCTAAAACAGACTAACTAGTCTTTCTTTCTTTCTTTCTTTCTTTCTTTCTTTTACATTTAGTCATGCCATTGACGCGGGGTAAGAGACAAACTAACAAACCAGCAACCCACCAGATGATGACATGCTGCAGTCTGGTAATGAAGGTAACTTAGTTTTTTATGGAAAAGGATGTAAATACTACAAAAGTATTTTATGTGTAGCTTTTGGTTGTAGGAAGGTTTTTTCCTGGCTCAAATAGGTTGGTGCTGCCCCTGTCACGAGGGGTAGTGCCCTCGGTTGGCATTTACTGACCTGTACTATCCAGTATATGCAGGCATGGTCTGACAATATTAGAATAATAATACACAATAATAGAATATAATATACTGCAAGTAAAAACATTAAGTGTATAATGGCTGCCCAGTGTAAACTTTTTATCATGCACCCTCCTCTGGTTGATATTTAAAACAGGTTTTGGAAATACACTAACGGCGAGCACCTGCCCTTCTCTTTGCATCTTTTTTAGTGGAAGAGATGCACAGCCATCTGCTCCAACCACTGCCCCAACCATGGCTAAGTTGAAGGAGGATTATAGATTGCTAAAAGAGGAGAACCGCCTTCTGAAAGAGGAGAACCGACTTCTGAAAGAGGAGCGGGGTTTCCTTAGGCAGAAAGGTCTCAACCCAGTGAAGACCAGACCCTCAACATCTTCAAAAGGTATTCAGACAGTGTTCTTCCCAAAAACAACATGGAAAGCTATTTCTATAGTCTAAATGAGTTGCTTATTTTGTATCCATATCACACAAATAATATAAATACGCTACAATAAGATAATTTTTTTTAAGCGCAAAATCTGAAAAAATAATTAGAAAAATAATTATTTCATCATTTTTGTCACTCTGTTTAAGGGTCCGACAAAAGGAGGCTCATGGATTCCTCAGACTCTTCAACATCTGACTCTAAGTCAGACTCCTCCTCCTCTGAAGAAAAGAGGAATAAGAAGAAGTGAAAGAATAAGAAGAAGGAAAACCCTGCAAAATTAAAAAGAGGTTAAAAGAGGTAACTTTCATCATTATGAAAAGGATAGCTCACAATCATCTTATATTATACAGTCATATTAGGCTTGTAGGTTATCATAGTTCAGGGTATTGCCAAGGGCAGGGTATTGTCAACAACTATGATGCAAGCTGATTTTCAATATTGACCATGTCCTACACAGAATTTAGTATGATCGCTATTTGTTATAAACAATGTATATTACTTAAACAGAACAAGAACAATTAAGGCCCACAGAGATCAGAATCAGAATCAGAATCAGAATGAAGAGATCTTCAAAGTAAAGTCAGAAATGTTTTAAACCCACAGTTTTTGAATGCAAATTATTATTTTTTTTAAACTTCAAATGGCCTTTTCTGTTTTATATTTTTACAATTTCCTGTGTTGATCCAGGACCATCTGTATTGATATGTGCTTCAGTATGGAGTCGGTCACGATTGGTGGCTAATAGCTTTTCGCATGAAGCCTTCAGATTATTGTACATGGTCCAGGTGACAAAAATTGACCTAGTTTAGTCTATGGAACATTTTCATCTCAGTGTTACAATCTTTTATATTCATAAAGCATAGGGTTAGTTCAGGCAGGCCACAACGATACCCTCTATATCAGCTGTCAGCAGCAAGCAAGTCTAGCCCCATCAGCTGATCACTCAGCTGACTTCACCAATGCTCCTATTGGCTCATCACTTTCAAAGCTCAGTATTTAAACTGCTCTCGCCTGGCTTCTCTTGCTGCTTCCTCCACTAGCCGACTTCAACCCACCGCCGCCCCCAGCTCCCCCTGTTGTGCTTTCCGCCTGTTCATTGTCATTGCTGCTGTCTGCTCTGTCTGGGTTTTGCTGCTACACTCCCTGCTTATAGTTTCAATGTAGCACCCTCATGTGTTGACTGATTTTCTTTGGGCAGAAGTTCAGTGCCAGTGTGCACACACGCAATAGGCTGGGCCTATCATAAATCACTATTTATTGAATTAATCACGTTTAAACAAGTAGAATGAAGGAGAGGAGTGCAGAGACTAGATTACATACGTTATTTACCTCTCTAACTCTAGAATGTCCTGTTATGTAAAATCAAGATTATTAATGTTTGTGTGATTATGATATAATGTTAATAGATCATATTTTATAATCTGTCTTGTAGTTCAGCAGGGTCCAGAGGACGCCGTACACCGATACAGAGCTGTTCTAAAAGAATTTCGGCGTACAAGGAGCATCAGCCTCAGCTGTGAATCCCTGAGCGTTGACAGAAATACTATCGCCTTAACGGCAATCATTGCAGAGGTGTGGATTGCTGCAGAGGGTGAAGATTTCGGGCTGCTGCCAGAGTTCACTGAGGAGGACACTGTAGGAAAATACGCCAAAACCTGCAAGACCTTCCTGGAGGGTAACAATCCGCTTGAAGAAAAAATTAAACAAATGAAAAAAAAGTCTGAGCTGCTACCCATAAAATGCAAATTTAGGAAGTGAGGGTTCGCATTACTACTTTTCCTATGGTAGGGAGTTGAAGGGTAGAAGGGTTGTTGAAAGGTAATATGTTTTTGAGTTTGTCTTTGCCTACTTTACAGTCTGCTCGTGTACGGCAGCATACTTTATTTCAGATTTTAAACATTTTGAAGAGTTCTGTTTTTGTTTTTCTGTTTAAGTTTTGTCTTTGAACCCCAAATCTGTAGTAATAAGTATATATTACTTAATAATGTTCATGGTAACTTTGGTACATCTTGTTACTTTCCACTGTGCCTTTGTTATATCTTGGTATTAAACATTCCTTTTTGTGTGGTACAGTTGCATCTTACTCACTGGGTAATTTGACATGTTTTTACTTAGTAATGTTGTGGAACTTTTAAGGTTCACGTTTGTGTTGATTGCATGGAAAAGGGCATAATCTATTACAAATTATATGGCAAGAGCCTGTTAATAGAATGGAAACAAGCAAGGCTTCCTTTTACAGTACAGGTACATCTTACTTACTGGATCATTTCACATGTTTTACTTGATAATGTCCAGGAACATATGTGGTTCAAGTTTGTGTTGATTGCATGGAAAAGGGAGTAATGTATTACAAATTGTATAGCAAGAGCCTGTTAATAGAATGGAAACAAGCAAGGCTTCCTTTTACAGTGAATTTTCATCTTACTAACTGGGTAATTTGTCATGTTTTACTTAGTAATGTCATGGAACATGAATGGTACAAATTAATTTAATTGCATAGACAATGGAATATTCTATAACAAAGGATTTAGTAAGAACATAGTAATAGCATGGAAACAAGCAAGGCTTCCTTTTACAGTACAGGTTCATCTTACTAACTGGGTAATTTGTCAAATTTTACTTAGTAATGTCATGGAACATGAATGGTACAAATTAATTTAATTGCATAGATAATGGAATATTCTATAACAAAGAATTTAGTAAGAATATAGTAATAGCATGGAAACAAGCAAGGCTTCCTTTTACAGTACAGTTTTAGCGTACATGTTGGGTAAGTTCTAAAACCATATGCAAGAACGTACCCAATATTTAAGAAGATATACTGGGCCACGACAGCAGAGGAAAACCGTTCCTGCAGAGGATGATAACAGGTAAATACGGGCAAAAATGTTCAACTTAAATAGAAACAATTCCATATTTTATACAATTATATCTGAGTAATTACCAACCTAAACCTGTCAACTACATGGTACTCAGTTGAAAAGATGGGCAGTAGTGGAGATTTCTTTCTTCGTGTTTCAGTTGTAGTTTCTCAGTATTTACTTGTTACCAGCAGTAATTACCCAATAATACACTGTAATTTCAGTATATTTTACCAGGTAAATACTTTGTACTTTGGCTGTAGTTTCCCTGTATTTACCTTCTTTTTCTAGTGTAAATTACAGAAGAACATTCTATGTTTTACCGGGTTAATACCTGGTAATTAGCGCACTGTAAAATATTTGACCAGATAAATACTTTGTACTTCAGCTGTAGTTTCCATGTATTTACCTTCTTATACTGGTGGTAATTACACAAGAAGATGCTATGAATTACTTAGTTACCTGGTTAATACCTGGTAATTAGGGGACTGTAAAAGGAAGGGTTACCAAAAAGTTTCCTGAAACAGAAAAAACCTATAAAAGACACTTTTCTATGTTACACATAGGCTGTAGATTAAGGAGGTGTGAATGGTGCCCTCTGGAGGC